CAACAAGTGTGTACAAGAGGAAAAGCAAGCAAACAGCTACGCTCACAATTTCCTTGAGCCAAATAATCGGGTTATGCTTCTTGGAGCATGCGTGAAACCACAGCCGTTGAACTACCTACTTTGTACTACCAAACTGCGTGTATTTACAACTATGGAAAAGAAAATTGAAACTAGGGTTTAGGGTACTGCCTTTGAGTAGAAGGCGCTGTGCTCCAGGCACCACATCCAGAGAAGCTTCGATAATCCGTTGCAGATCCTGTCCAGGGCAACATGGGGTCTTTGTGGGTCCCTCTAAAGCGGAAAAATGTGTATATACAAGCCCTGTAGGGGATATTGATATATTGGGACTATGTACCCTAAACCCGAAACCCTAAACCCTGAACCCTGAACCCTAAACCCTAAACCCCAAAATAACCTAACGAATCCCATGAAAAAGAAAAAGATGAAACAGAGCCAGGATTTTGTAGGGATAGATCGAAGTTGTATCGGGATAATGGAAAAGTAAATGGAAGCTACAATAGAACCTTGGGGTTATATTGGGATAATGGAAAAGAAAATGGAAACTACTATTTAGGGTTTAGGGTTTAGGGTTTCCGAAAGTTAGGGGGTCCCTTTTTGGAGGGGATACCTATTGTGACACCTATCATGAGGATGAGAATATAATGGGGATTATGAAGGGACTCCCCCAGGGAGGGAATGGGGCTAAGGTTGTTCACTCTGGTGGTCTCTTTGAACTCGTTCAAAAAAACAATTCAGACCCTGCCCAGGAAACAAGAATCCAAATCTACCTGTCTATAAACCAAAGACCCATCTAGGGCAAAAATTGGAAAGACCACCAGTCTGCACCCTGGTTTGAGCTTAGTTCAAGTCTTCTTTTGCCCGCCTGGATCGTGTTGCCAGGGTCCAACTCTGGCGCCAGCAGTGTGGCACCAGACAATGAGAGGATTGAAAGCTGCCGCATGCGCAGCGGCTCCATCACATGGCGAATCTAATTCTGCAAGTCAACCCGAGCCCCGCTCAACTCCTGAACCTACTCTGCAAGACCCACTTGCTGCTTCAATACTAGCTACCCGCGAACAGAAATGCAGCGACCCTTGAAATACAACAAATTCGTAAGGTCGAATGAATGGATGGATGGCTGGATGGATGGCCTCCTCACGGTCATGCTATCATCAAAAGCTTATCTTCATAGGAATGTAAGCTAGTTGGCTTTGACCCAGCACAGGTACCAGCTTGTTGCAACAGCTCGACTTCTGTCTCCTGGCCAACTCGGCCAGCTTCACAAAATCCCAAACAGCTCTCAGGTCCTGACAGCTGACTGACCAGTCGTTGATCCGCGTGTGGCACTTCGGGCAAGGATGCATCACCTGATTCACAGGATCCTGCAAGCGCAATATGTCCGGTGTCACCTCTCGAGACTACCTTTACGAAAGCACACCGGCAGCAGTTCGCAAGTGACGGTAACGACTGGAGTTACTCATCAGCTGTTGCAGCGTAATTGCTGCGACGACTATCATCTGCGATCAACAGATCTGAGCTCAACAACAAGTATTATTGGGGCACAATTGCATGGTCCCTGGGTCGTTCTGCTGAATAATCTTTATAAGACAACAGCTTCTGTCACCTCGGAAGCGCGACACTATCATCTGGATGGTCATCCGAGCTGGCAAATTGCAATTACTGACATCCAAAATGAATTGTTGCAAAACCACCAGCAGCCTCATGCAACCGCCTCGACTAAAAGAAGTCTCCAGAATTAGCGCGCAGCCCACGTACCGGGTCCTTGGGGGTGCTCCTGATGAAGATGCTCAAAGCCAAGTCCGAAAACTTGGTGCGCATCTCGTCGCTAACGTCCCCAGAAGCCTCCCGGCTTCCGTCACAAGGTTGCTTGCTTTCGGGGGCTTGCCACATGCTTTTCGGCAACATGGTGGCTTCACCGAGGTTTGACGGCTTCGTTGCATGCATCCTCGGGTAATTTGGTCTGTGAGATCTCGGAGGCATCGTGATCCCTACATTGGAGAGTCTTCTACGCACAACTCTACCGACATCTTGATCATGCCTGGAACAGGTTGGAGGTACCCTCACGCTGTATAGGAAGGATGGAACATTATTTGGGTAGTTGCCTGACTTAGCGATCCCAAGTGAGCATCAGAATGGAACCCAAGCCCGCATCCATGCTACACTACTTACATTGGGAAATCCTCGATCCGAATCCTTGGCTGCAGCGCTTCCCCAGTCTGACACAGGCTGACAGGGCCTCAAGCTTGATGAATGCCTTGGAGCACTGCATGTAGAACTTGTTGTAGTAGGTGGTGAGGGCCTCAGAACAATCTGCTGGCAGCTCGGGAAACTGAGACCGGCTATCCCTGCAGACTTTGACAGCCATCATCCAGCCTTACTGGTTCTTAGTAGGGGATAAGGGAATATGTGATATAGGGATTACTGTAGATTGGATGTGTATTCCCTTATTCCCCACTGAGAGCCAGTAAGGCAAGGGTCTAGGGTCACCGCTATCAGAGAATAAATGGTTTGCGTATCGAGGATGTCCTGCGGCCGGCACTTTAACACGAGTTTCTACCCAATACACAACATGTTCTTTTTCATTGTCCCAATGTATCCCTATATAACTTAATATAACCCCAACATTAGGGTTTAGGTGAGCCTTCCACCCTCGGGAGTGCACTCAGACTGCTCTGCCAGACTGCGTTGAGCTTAAAGACTGCAGAAAACTAAAGCACTGTCCTCATATTCAGCAAGCCGCAGCGATGTCTTCATGGCCTCCACAGAACTCAGGCATGTCTGTGCAAGCCATTTCAGGTTAGGCTCAAAGCTCCGACCAGGGACAACTCTGCCACATGCCTCCAACCTCCGAAACGCAAAGTTCAGATTTCTGCGCTGAGCGGCTTGTGACATTGCTCAATATGAACACCACTGCAAAAGAAAAACTCGGCAAAGATAGCGCAGAATATTGACAGTTTTCATGACTTTTCTGTAGAGACCTCTTTCAAATTCCATCTGCGCCAACTATGGCTCTGACAAATGCCTCGATCGTAATCATGGGGGTTGTGCCATGCACTCAGGCTCGTCATCTTGTGTCTTCATAGCGCGGCAGTGCGACATCATGCGACATGCGTTCCAACGCGACACATGGCTGAAGGGCTCCAGCACTACGGCGGACACAGCAGCAATCAGCTTTGGTAAGCAGATTTGTGATTGTAAACTCAACATAAAGGCTTCTGAGGCGTGTTCACGTTCTCATCATGCTGCAAGCAAACTTCCAACCGCTTTGCTCACCAAGCCCCACATGCCCCACGAACAAAATCTGCTTTGCCTCTGACAAATGCCTCGAACGTAATCATGTAGTTTGTGCTAGGCACTCAGGCTCGTCATCTGATGTCTTCAAAGGCGGCTACTACATGCTAACAGATGCCAACGGCATGTAATCAGTGGGGCCTTCCCAGGCAAAGCAAGCGCAACAAACGGAACGCTTACAACATTTCTCTGGAACCTCCTCTGAATTACATCTGCACCAACTATGGCTCTGACAAATGCCTCGATCGTAATCATGGGGGTTGTGCCATGCACTCAGGCTCGTCATCTTGTGTCTTCATAGCACGGAAGCAGAAGGTTCGACCATTACTCAACACAAGCACATGCGCCACAGTTCTGAAGTCTTCCTTGAAGTAGTCTGGCGGCTAGGCACATCGATTGTCTCCGTCCTGCCTCTTGAGTCTCACAAGGTTGCAGACTGAGACAAGCGCAAGGCACGTGAACAAGCTCGGAGCAGAAAAAAAACTGGAACCTGAACAAATGCTTCATGTACCACCATTGCCTGCTCAAACTGCCCCTCGTACAATTGCCGCTGCGAAAGAAGGTAGAGGTGGAACGCCTGATCAATCACATTGGCTGACACCGGGAATCCATGTGGATAAACACTTGCACAGCAAAAATGGCATGCTTTGAAAGCCTCTGCCCTGCTGGTACCTCAAGGCCCTTTTCAGACTGCTGTCCAACCCGCCCAGCCTCGCAGCCACGCCAAGGACTCTCCAAAGCGCGGTCACTGGAGACGCTCTGGTCCTAGAGCTTTCTCAGGGTACTTCTACCTTGATCCCACCTTTCCATGTTTCGTGCTGATAGCTTGGGCTTTGGGTGAGTTGGTGCTATGAGCTCCACCACGTGAACCGAAGCAGCATGACTTCATGCGCATGGGGGAAAAAGGCGACCTGCGTGACCAGCGACTGCAAGGTCTGTGCAGTCGTCATCGTGCCCTGGGTGGCACCTGCGGGAAGGGAAGCAATTCGCAAGCTGCTGCTGGAAAGCCTAGTCTCATGCGCTGCGTACTTCCACTTGGCATGAGTATTTGCCTAGGCTGAGACTTTGAGTATCGACCTCATCTGTGAACCATACTGAAGGATGCCCTGCACGCTGCAGCGTTTGCTGGGAGCCTGTCATCTGTGCGTCCAAGGTTTTGTTCTTGAACCTTAGCTGGGTGCTCAATCAGCTCCACCACTGGAACACCCTCCCCTGTGTTGCTGGCGCGAGGATGCGCGAGGCATAGCAGGGTGCTAGAAGCACTGAGCTCTATGTGCAAATGCCCTCAATCCCCGAGTCACAACGTCCACAATGAAAAAACATATTGTCAACTCTCAACTGCAAAACTCCACAACTGTCTTCAGATCAACCCGCACGCCCCACGCCCACACACAGGCCACCTTCACCTGGCATAATTTGTGGAACTAGCCACTCCCTTGCCTGCTGACACTCCTTTATGCATGCAATTTCTCGTACGAATGTTATTTCTGTTCATTTCTCTTTGCTATCAGCATACTCCTCTATTTCCGCTCTTGTTGGTGCTGCTATCAGCTCATGCATCTTGGGCATGCGCTTCTCCACCTCCATGGCTGCCAGCAAGTACAACCTGCCAGGTCTACGCAAACTGTAACAAGAATTCCCGCAGTAACAGCACACGCACGACAACTAACAATTACTGGCAGCAATATTAACATTTAAAAGCGGTGACGTCATTAATCATAGAAAATGGCAGTAGTTATAGTTGTAGGAGTAGTAGCACCAGCAGAAGCGGTAGCAACCTAAAAATTACTCGCAATAACAATAGCCGTAGGCTTAGCAGTAGCCAGCAGCAGCAGCAGCAGCAGCAGCACTACCACCATGAACCAGCACCATTGCAGCAGCAGTAGTAGCAGGGGGAGTAGTACTAGAAGTAGTAGGAGTAGTGGTAGTAGTAGTAGTAGTAGTAGTCATCGTCATCNNGTCGTCGTCGTCGTCGTCGCAGTCGTCATTGTTGTTTTTGCTGTTGCTGTTGCTGTTGCTGTTGCTGTTGCTGCTGCTGCTGCTGCTGCTGCTGCTGCTGCTGCTGCTGCTGTTGTTGTTGTTGTTGTTGTCGTGGTCGTTGTTGTTGTTGTTGTTGTTGTTGTTGTTGTTGTTGTTAAGTAGCAGCAGCAGCAGCAGTAGTATTAGCAGTGCTACTACTAGCATTAGCAAAAAATCATCATGACACTACTTGTTTCAATAGCAGCGGCCGCAGCAACAGTAGCAGCACAAGAACAAAAACAGCGTAGCGGTATAACTACGAGCGCAAGCAGCACCGTCGGTAGCATTGGCATCGGCAGTGGCATCCGCAGTGGCAATGGCAGTGGCAATGGCAGCGGCAGCCGCATCAGCAGTAGTAGTAGTAGTAGTAGGCCCCCCCCCTCCTAGGCACTACCGTTTTAATAAAAATTCATTGTAGACAGGTTGGGGAAGGGTGGGGGGGGGGGGTAGTTCCGTACGTTGTACTGTG